TATACAGGGAATATCTTTATCTTTTTTTTTAAATTATGATACACTTAATGTTGGCGGCAGAGAAAGCTCACCCGAGGAATTCTCACCGCAAAACTGTCCGCTGCAAAGAAAATATCACCAACCTTTTGACGAATGCGGGGAAAAGCTCACCTATAGGATAAGGATTGACGTTCGCTCAAATGAAATACGTCCACGCAACTGAAGTATGCTGGAATGACTCATGCGCATATGGCCTTTGTGCAATTCACTCGCATAATTTATTTTTAAAAACATTGTAGCATGTCAGGCGGTGTCTGACGAAAATAATATGAATACTTTTAATATAACGCCAATTAAGAAATAACGGGGCGAATATAATCAGTGTAGAGGGCTTCACCTTGGTTAGTTTCTCAACATTTATTTATAAAATAGCATGTTATGGAGTGTACCAGCACTGCATCGCCAAATCTCCAAATTTCTTCATTTGTTTAAGATAAATATTGGTTGAAATTCTTACTTCATTTGAACGAGAAAAAAAATTTGTGATTCCTCTCTCCCAGCAACGTCAAAATTAAATATGCTCACACTCTCCCAAATTGGCTTGACATGAAAGCGAAACGAGGGCTTCAGAGAGGGTGGAGAATAAAAATCAAGATAACATGAATTGTGATTTAAATCAGACTGGCTTTTACTTGGATGGTTTAAATGAAACCTTTCTTGCAAAAATAATCCCAAAGTAGTTTTGTTCTTAATTTTCCGTTTGTGTAATAAATTTTTTTTTCTCGTTAATATTAACACAAGCTCTTTGAAGCTGGTTCACAGATGCAAATGAAAAGAAGGTGACTGAAGCATTTGGGCCAGATTAGTCACCTTGTCTGATGTTGGTTGCCCTTCGTCACAGGTGCAGACTACGAGCCTTAAGGAAATTCGTAGGTAATATGTACGCCTTGGGCATAGAAGTAAATGCCAAACATTTCTCTTTCCACCAGAAAAAAGAATATCGGGGTATTTGTATATGCGTATACAGCCTAGAACCTAGTCTGTCTCAACGGGCGACTTGTCTCCCAGAAGTAGATGAGAAATTTAGCCAGTTCAGTACAACCGGTAGCCTGGGGTCATTGACGTAGTTCACGCAGTACTCATACACGACAGCACGCCGGTAAGAGGCTCATCTAGATCGGAACGTTCAGGGGTAGGGATTGAACCCAGGATCCCTGAGTTCTGCCGCGCGAGCTTTCGCTCCACATGCTCCGAGCTGGTGTGCGCTTGCTCACTCGGCCACCAATCCCGCCCTTGCCACTTGAGTGGATGTTGGACTAGTGCCTTTCACTGCCACGCTTGTTATGTATTATTTAGATCTTGACTTCGTTCATTATTATGGACGAATTGCATTGTGGGTGATTTTTCTGGTTTACGGTGGCGTTCATTTTAACGACACATATGACTGTATCAGGGAGTACAAACTAGAAGCTAACAAGCAAATTTTGGTCTTTACTGGCAATTATGTGCAATAAAGCAATTTTGTTTTCAGTACAGGCTCAAGCGTGGATGACACTCATGTATATTCCTTTCCATCGACGGAGACAAGTGGACCGCAAGAGCCAACTAGGTGAAGGGGATGAAACTTTTTGGCGTCAACAGCTTGTGGCCTGCACGACTGTGCTCTTACCGTGCAGTGTTTGCTGAGCTATATGACCAGATAATTAGAATGTTTATATTTGCCAAGGGTGATAAATATTTCTAGGAACCCAACCCGATAGCATGCGGCCAAACAACAAGACCGATTTCACAGAATTCAATAACTATTTTTGCCCTTCAATGGTTATGGTGTTGTCCGTTCCCGTGTTTGTGAGTGGGGTGCGCGAGCGCCGAGGACAGGAGCGCGAGCTTAGCCCGGGCGCGCGAGGGCTGTGGAACACAAACCGCGGAGCAAGGTGGTGACGGTGTGGATGGTCGGCGCTGAGCAGGTCCGCGGCGGTATGGTTGTTCGACCACCGAGAAAGTATTCGACGGAGAGGGGTGTGAGTGCTTGTGAGTGAGTGCTGTGCGTCACTACAACACCCAAGCCACCATGGCTTCTCGACCCCGACTGGCGGCGCAACGAACCGGACCTCCACCTGCACCTTGGAACGCTGACTCGGCTCTCCCCCTCCAAAACTGCATGACAACCTCGATTTTACTTTTGATATTTTTTTTTTCTTTCCTTCTTTCGACTCTGTGTACGTCCTGTGCGCCCTTCCTTTACTTTTGAATTATTTTATAAAATACTGTTCTTAACGTCGGCATGCTTTGCTCTCAATTCCTCCCGCCTCTCAGGATGTCTATCGCCAAGGTATGGTCCTAACACCTGGGCAGCAGTCCAAGTCAAATTCCAAATTTGTTTGTTTAAATGGGATCTTTAACATCCGAACCTGTGACAAACTGGCGTCCGCGACAGGACCTGCTGTCCACTGTGACCGTCTATCCTGAGAGGAGGAGGGTGAGCGACTGAGTTTGGCACGCCGTAGGGAGCGCGTTGTGAGGCTGACGTCGTTGCGGGAGCACACAACCCGGCTTACCGATCGGGAGCAGAGGAGAGGTTTTAGAGTCAGACTATCCAGCAAAGGGTCCGCGCGACTTCAGCCATGGAGCTCCACGAGCTAGTGGCCTGCGGAAAAGAACTCGGGGTCAAGGGTTCGGCCCTGAGGGAATGGGTGGACCAAGAGAGAGAGAATACGAGAGCCGCGAGAGCGCAAGAGCAAGAGAGGCGTGTCGAAGCGGAGCATTGAACCCTAGAGCTGAGGATCAGGCTGCAAGAATTACAGAACGCGTCGTCGATCCCTGTTACCAGTAGCTCCGCAGAAAAACGGGACCGGGACAACGCTATGGAAAAGTCCTCAGCGTTGGCTGCCCACCTTCGACGAGAAGAAAGACGACCTTGATGCCTACCTGATGCGCTTTGAGAGACTAGCGAGCGGGCAGATGTGGCCCCGCGAAGACTGGGCCACTGCGCTTAGCGTATGCTTGGCAGGGGAGGCACTTGGAGTCTTTTCTAGGCTAACCCCGGAGGATTCTGTCGAATACGATAACGTAAAGAAAGCGCTCCTGCAGAGGTTTCGGTTGACTGCAGACGGCTTCCGAGACAAGTTTAGAAGTGCTAAGCCGGAAAAAGGGGAAACCGGTACACAATATGCGGCGAGGTTGTCTAGCCTGTTTGACCGTTGGGTCGACCTATCCGGGACGGCGAAGGATTTTGCCGCCTTACGGAATTCGCTGCTCACGGAGCAGTTCGTTCGGAGCGTTCCGTCAAAAATGTCACTTTTCTTAAGAGAAAGAAAGAGCAAACAGCTAGGCGAAATGGCTGACCTCGCAGACCGCTATCTGGAGGCCCAAGAACAGGAGCCGGCCAGGAGGGAGGAGGCTACACCAGACACTGCGGCAAGTGGATCTCGACCGACATCGAACGGTCAACAGTACAAGGCCAGTAAACTTCTTAGGAAATGTTTTCTTTGCGACAGAAGTGGACACCTAGCGGCACAGTGCAAAAGCGGTCAGAAACCGAGCAGCCAAGCTCGGACCTGCCGAAATTGCGAAAACTTCGGTCACACGTCCAGTCAATGTTGGAACCGGGACGGAGGATCGCAAGTTTCCTTTGTTCAGGCAAGCAGGGAGGAGCTGGACGCAGTATCCGGTCGTGTGAAAGGTGGCTGTGTCGAGCTAAGGGACGGCACCAAGGTGCCAGTGGTAAACGCAGTGTCCGGGACTTCTCGCCTGATGGGGGACATGCCTGTAGCTGCCGGAAAATTACACGGACAAGCTGTCACTGTGTTGCGTGACACAGGCTGCAACACTGTCGTAGTGCGCCGAAGCCTCGTACCAGACGACAAACTGACTGGAACGTCGAGTATCGTGTACTTGGTGGACGGGACTGCGAGGGTCTTGCCTGAGTCCAGGGTGCATGTTGAGACTTGTTTCTACAGTGGGAACGTCGTGGCTCAATGTATGGAGAACCCTTTATATGACCTGATTTTGGGTAACCTCCCTAACGTGCGCGCTCCCAGCGAACCGGAAGCTGTCTGGAATAGAGCGGAGAAAACTGAAGTGGGTTTGCCTCACGATGAGAAGCAAGATGTAGAGATTCGTGCCACCGCAGCCAAGGAAGCAAGGTCCCAGAGACAGGCGGCAAAGAACGCCACCCCGCTGAGAGTGCCCATAATTGAAGGTGCACCTGCGGAGCCCGAGGAACTTGCGACACTGCAAAAAGAAGACAGCGGTCTAAAGGGGCTCTTCGACCGTGTCGGAAAGGTAGCCAACTGCAGACACTCGGAGGGCACAAAAGAGTTTGTCATGCACCGGGGACTGTTGCACCGAGTTTTTCGGACATCAGAGCAGGTTTTCTACCAGGTGGTGCTCCCTAGGAACTTACGGGAGGGAGTGCTTCGTATGGCTCATGACGGCATTTTGGCTGGACAGCAAGGGGCAGAGAAAACCGCACTCCGTATCGTCAGCGAGTTTTACTGGCCCGGACTCCAGGCGGACGTCAAATGATGTGTCAGATCCTGTGACAAGCGCCAAGACAACGAGCAGTTATTTCTTGCATCTGCATCGGCACATCAGTGGAGGTAGGAGAGTGCGATGAAATTGGCTCGTCTTCAGGCGGAGTGAAATCGCCTGGAAGAGATAATATAACTTCTGGAAGCTGAGGAGGACGTACAAAAAAGTGCTGATAAGTCATTTGAGGATTTTACAGCACAAAGTCAAAGCTCCCAAAGGAGCTTCACTTTGGAGCCGACGAGTTTCAACGGTTTCAATCCATTGGTAAAGATTGGTGGCCAGATGAGAGGCGCGGATGCGTCCTTTGAAGATTCAGAACTCTATCCCAGATCGACTACGGAAGCTGAAGCTTCAGGCCTGACGAACCCAGAGGACACCGAGGTGCACCCCGTGGTTGTAGGTAGAGATCCTAAGAAAAGCACAACAAGTGCTAAGAGAGGGAAGCATGAATCTATGGGTGAAAAAATTAAGCGCGAGCTTCGTTTGAAATGCAAGTCAAACTCGCAAAGAATGTTGTTCAGGCAGTGCAAAGAAAAGGTCATAAGGCGACGAGACCGCTCGCCGGTCAGTGACCGCCATGCAGTGGACAGTTCATCCAAAAGACAGAGCACATGCAATGCTAACGTAGAAATCTGGATCATCTGGAATGGGAGAGATCATGCGAAGTTTACCTTTAATTCTGAAATCTGGTTTAGAGTCACAGTAAGCTGGGAAGACAGAAGGCCAAGGCTTTGAGGTTAGATGAGTAATCACTGAATTGCATATCTCATCGAAATATTAAGACTGGGTTCTCTCGTAACCGGTTGTGCTAATTACTCGGAAAATAATTTTTGTTTTTGCTTTCGTAAGTTCGGGAATTTTTGTTATGGTACTGCAAAACTGAGTGTTTTCGTTGCTTGTCAAACTTTCGGATTGCTGATGTGTTACGCAAAGACATTGGAAAAGCGAATCGAAGTTTCTCGATAGCTGGGTCACGAATTAATTTTTGAAAGGTTCGAATCTGTGTGTACCTAAGTGAAGTGTCTTCTGTGTGGTCTAGAATTAGTGTGTATTGAGAAAGCTGTAGAGTGAGTTAGTTCTTTAGCAGAGTTCAAACTGTTTCTTTTTATGTGGACTATGAATATATTTTGAATGGTTGGCTGAATTACTGTTACTGATTGCATCGTTTTAGGACGTGCTTGAGGAATAGTAGTGGTAAAACGTGAAGAGATAGTGCGCAATGAATTTTGTGATTTTTTTTTTAAATATTCTTGCGTGAATATTTTTTTGAAATAAGGGGTAGTGTCACAGAATTCAATAACCATTTTTGACCTTCAATTGTTATGGTGTTGTCCGTTCCCGTGTTTGTGAGTGGGGTGCGCGAGCGCCGAGGACAGGAGCGCGAGCTTAGTCGCGCGCGCGAGGATTTGTGGAACACACCGCGGAGCAAGGTTGCGACGGTGTGGATGGTCGGCGCTGAGCAGATCCGCGTCGGTATGGTTGTTCGAACACCGAGAAGGTATTCGACGGAGAGGGGTGTGAGTGCTTGTGAGTGAGTGTTGTGCGTCACTACAACACCCAAGCCACCATGGCTTCTCGACCCCGACTGGCGGCGCAACGAACCGGACCTCCACCTGCACCTTGGAACGCTGACTCAGCTCTCCCCCTCCAAAACTGTATGACAACCTCGATTTGACCTTTGATATTTTTTTTTCTTTCCTTCGTTCGACTGTGTGTACGTCCTGTGCGCCCTTCCCTTACTTTTGAATTATTTTATATAAAATACTGTTCGTAACGTCGGCATGCTTTGCTCTCAATTCCTTCAGCCTCTCAGGTTGTCTATCGCCAAGGTGTGGTCCTAACACCTGGACAGCGGTCCAAGTCAAATTCCAAAGTTGTTTGTTTAAGTTGGATCTTTAACATCCGAACCTGTGACAACCGACTTGTCCGCATTCCTGAAAACGCCGTAATGCAGCATTAATCAACGGATTGCAAGTTCATATGTTGAAAATTATGTGACGGGTGGAACAGATTTCAAATAATTTACATTCTCAGAGTTTCGCAGAGTAGAACGCCGTCCAAACAAGGCACAGAATGATGGCATGCCGCAACGGAGCACCGGCATATGCCGTACTCTACTCCACATTAATACTTTCTTTTTTTTTCTTTTTTTTCTTGCCGGGACGAAACGTTTTTTCTTTTTCTGCTTGGATCATTCTCATCACGTGAGCGCAAACAGCTTCTCACGCGCTCTGCTGGAAGTCGTCGAGGCCTCCGCTCTTTCTATCGGTGCCCAATATTTTGGAAATAAGAGGAAGGGACAACAGCAGAGGAAAGCTGTGCCGTTTGCATGTTTGATGTCCTAACTGAAAACTGATGGGTGGACAGCAAACTTCCATTTCGTATGCCGGTGCCGTGTCACTCACACCATCTGCCGTGTCTTGTTTTGACGGCCCTCAATACCCTCGTTGCATGGGCTGTTTTAATTATCAGCGGCTCAATGACAATTTTCACAGCCATGTCACTCTGGTCTTTCGCGATTCACCCCACTGCCGTTGGTTCAGTGACAGCCGAGAGTGCTTAGAGAGCTTAGCTACACGAGTATGTATTAATGTACTCATGTTAAGCAGTTGATATTCCATGGTGTGAGGACTGTAGAACGATTTGTTTTTCGAAATCGCTAGTTGTCATTGCACTTGGCACTTATATTCAGCTGTAGGTTAAAAAAAGCAAGATAAGCTGCTCGCCATAAAGCCCCCCACTCTTTCCACTTTAGCAGGGCAGATGCGAAAGAAGAGGCAAGCAAAGTGCAGGCAACCCGCAGTCGTGGCGAGCAGCGAGGTTTGTGAGAAGGCCTTGCTTTGCTTTTTTTCTAACCTGAAACAAACAATAGTGCAGTTGTCAAGATCACACTGTTTCACGATGGGCCTTAGTCAGCGAGAGAGAGACTGTCAATGTGTTTTTTTTTATCCCCCGAGTGTAACGGACGAGATATCTTCACCCTGACGAACACTGTTAATCGAGCATAATCTTGATGACATAAACACGTTTTACTTACAAATGTGAAATCATAACTACATAAGGCTGGTGTATTTCAAGAAGCACGCCTGCAGTGCCGTGAGTGCTAAATGACGGTGAATTAAAGACTTATATTTTCTCACAGAAGACACGGAGGAACTGAACACCTAGCCTGGAAATGCATCAGGCAGACTCTGGTCCTGTGGTCTACACACAAGTTGGGCTAGTAGTCCGGTATATACAGTGGACGTTTTTGTTTAGGTCACAGTAGGAAGTAAAATGCACCCTCGGGCAGGAGTGCTCTCTTATGCGTACTTTTAAGTATTGGTAATGAGTGTAGGGTAGTACAGGGGCCTTTCCCACCGACGATGTAACCAAAAGTATAGATATTTTCCATCGAAGCCTTCTATTGCAGTTTACATGTTTATATTATCAGCTTACCTGTCGATGTGTAACTTCTTCCTCAACAGGCAAAACTCTCCTGCACACTTCAATTTACAAAGGGATGTCGTGAACCACCTAGGTTCGATTTCGAAAGGTTTTGATATTTTCGAAGCGAAGTAAGGTCCGAATTCGAAAAATTTCGATATTTTCGTACCGACCGAGGTTTGAATTAAAAAAATTCACAACTTTCGATCACAGTGCAGTTTCGAATCCGAAACGTTCGAAGCTTTCACGGTTTCTAAAATTTCGGGCTCGAATATTTCGAAAATATTTTTTTTTAGGTTTGATAAATTCGAAGATTTCGAAATTTCCTAACTTTAAATAAGAGACATTCGAAAATTTTGAATTTCTTAAGATCTGAAGTTTTAAAAATTCGAAAATTTCGAAATTCTTTGGATATAGAATTTGATCAATTCGAACGCTTCGAATTTTTATAGACATGAAGTTCGAACAATTCGAAGATTTTGAAATTCTTTCTACCTAAAGTTCGAAGGTTTTGATTCTCTTTTAACGTTAAATTCGAAAAAAAAAACCTTCGAAGATTTTGAATTTCTTTCAAGTCAGAGTTTTCAAAGTTCGAAGTCCGGTTTTCATGTTGCTTCGCAGTTTCAGTTTCAAATAATGTTTTCACGACTCACTGGTTTTCATTTCACAAAATTAGGTTTAGAAAAGTTAGGGTGTGATATTTAGACTCCGCGAAGTTGGTCAGGCAATTAAATGAGACTACGATTGTCCCGTATGTGCTGGAATTATTGCCAGTGAAGAGTGACGTGTGACCATAGATCAGTAATTGTGACCGCCAACCCGAGGGGGGGGGGGAGTCTTTAACGTGCATCACGGCAGTAGTGATCACACGAACGCACTGTTTTACGATACACATACAGTTCGAAACAGCCAGGGGCGGGCAGGTGGTTGAGGCTCAGAAAAACGTTGAAGCGACCTGGCAAACTACCTCCCCACCCCTTGCACGCTGGTAGAAATCCGGTCGAACGCCGCTCGAGTGACGCTGGAATATAGTAAGTTAAGTTTGTAATTGTCCTGGAGGTTTATTTCCCGGGACGGAGGAATCGCCTCGCAAAAAGCACAGAAGCCGACACAATTCGACGTCGAGGAGCGTTCTACCATACAATTTGCGTCGGAAGAGGAAGAACGGGGGGGGGGGGGGGGGGGGGGGGGGAGGCTCCAGCCAGCCTTCCGCCCCTCCCAGATATTTCGGACCGTTAAAGAAAACAACACGGGGAAAGAGGACGTGGTCGATCTTATTTTAATCTGAATTTATTTTTGCACATGTATAGCTACTGTCACTCTCCACTGCATAAACAATCGCGTAGATGGTCATTGTCGGAAACTCGCTGTCAGAAGGCACTACTTGTCACATGCTTAGTGGTTCGGAATTTCAAAGCTATGTTTTTTCGACCTAAATAACTGTGCTATCACTAAAAAAAGAAAAAAAAGCTTAACAATAAATGCGGAAATAAGAAGATGGAGAAAAATAACTATCAAGGATTCGCCGGAAGTGTTGTAGGCTTGCATACTCAGAGGCTCAAAACTTCAAAACACGTTTCTCCTACCAAAATGGTTATAGGCTAAAAGAAACACATCCCAAAAACGTGAAACGAAAAAAAAAGAAAGTTTTCTTTTAATGACGTGTAGAACTTGAACAACATTAGAAATCTCCCATCAGTTAATTTTTTTCTTAACGTAAAAAAAAACAATAAATACATTATTTTGTATTCTGTAGATGGCAATGATATGTACTGTCTGTGGTGTTAATTTAAATGCGATACCTCAAACAACTTAGACGAAAATAAATCCCAAGTTTAGGGCATAATTGCCCGTAGATACATGTTTGGACATTTTTTCGCTACTCACCTTGAATAACAATAATCACATCTTACGACGACACTTACCTAAGCTATACATAGATCATCCTTAGAAACTTTAACATCTCTACCATTCATAGCTTCGGCTATAGCGCGCTTCAAATATGGCACTAACGACAATCGTCAAAAACCCGTCGTCCTCCCTCGCCCCTTCCCGAATTTATTTCTTGAAAACTAAGCATGCCAGAAGATTGAAATAAATGGCATTGTCTTTCGTATGGAACGTAGCACCAGATGTAA